TTCTATTTCTGCCTCCCTCACACCCAGTAAGCTTTGAATTTGTTTGCTCCAGAATTGGGTTCCAGTTAGGACTCTTACTCCCAGACTAGTGGGACTCCCAGAACAATGCTTTTTCTTGGCCTTTTGTTATTTACATTAGAATTAATACTAGCTTACAGCTCAGGGCTTAAAAACACTCTTCTGTGAAAAAACAAAAAAGACAAAATTTGCAATATGGTTCCCATCTCAGAATGGTGATCCCTTCTGCTGCACACCACACACACACACACACACACACACACACACACACACACAATTATGTGGATAAAAGTGGCTTAAAATTTGTGTACCATGGTCTGAACAACTGCCTGGTAATTTGTGCATTTCATATCGTATTGTACATAGATACCAAGTCATAAGTTTTCCTTGACTCAATATGGAGGGAGATTTTCTCAGTAAGTTCTATTATTGAAAGTATGGGTCAATGTTCTATTACCTTCTCTGGGGAAGTTCCCCTTCCTTTTTTTTTTTAAGGTAGTAGGGTTTGAACTCATGGCCTCACACTTGCTAGGCAGGCGCTCTACCACTTGAGCCACTCCAATGGCCCTTTTATGTGTTGAAATAGGGTTTCACAATCTGTTTGCCCAGGCTGACTTTAAATTGTGATCCTCCTGATCTCTGCTTCCTGAGTAGCTAGGATTGCAGACATGAGTCAGTGCTGGGCCCCTCTTCCATTTTTATGAGGGCCTATCTATCTTCATAGAACTTCATCTTCTGTCACAGGCATGCCATGTGACCAATCCTACTGTCCAATCCTCTTGTGAAAGGTAATAGCCAGTGTGACCCACAGAAAGCAAATATGGTTGGTTATGTGGGTTGAATTTTGTCTCCATCCCCTTACTCCTCCTGCACCCAATTTCTATGTTGAGGTCCTAGCCTGCCGTGTTTCAGAATTGGAGAACAGGGTTTTCACAGAGGTATCAAGTTAAAGTAAGGCTATTAGAGTGGGCTCTAATCCCCTGTGGCAAGTATCCTTATAAGAAGAGGAAATCTGGATAGAGACAGACACACATGGAGGGAAGACGAGTTGAGAACACAGGGAGAAGACAACCATCGAAAAGCCCAGGAGAGAGGCCTCAGAAGGACCAGCCTGCCCACACTTTGACCTTGGAGTTCCAGTCTCCAGAGCTGGGAGGAAGTAAATGTGTGTGGTTTTTGCTAAGGCAGGAGCCCCAGACCTGAAGTGAGTACTCCCTTAGAGGTGCCAAGTGGACCATGAAAGAAAGGCACTCTCATCTTGCCAGATGTGCTAACCTGGGAGAGTGTGCATCTGGCTGTCTTTCAGGGTAGGGAAGGAGAAGTTGCCTTTAGAACTGGACGAAGCAGAAAGGGGATGAGGATGGATGGAGAGCGAGAGGCCTTTCCTGCCATAGAAAAGCTGCTTGGTATTAGGACTGCAGGAGAGAAACAGTGATACCCTTTCCTCTCCATGGCAAGGTTCATGGCTAACACTCCTGTAACAAATGACAGACTAACAAGAGAAAAGCTTAACAGACTTTTTAACCAAATGTCTACACCCTCGAGAGCCTTCAGAAACCAAGACCTAAAGATCCAGGGAAAAATATTTTTATGCTAAGTCTGAGTCCAGAAGAGGTTGACTGGAGAAATACGACTGGACAGAAGTGCTAGCAGAACTAAGTGGGGAGGGGGCGGTCTTATATTCAAGAAGGCTTGCTTTCTTTATTTAAGTATTTCGTGTCCACCAACAACAGGTGTTGGCGAGGATGCGGGGAAAAAGGAACCCTCTTACACTGTTGGTGGGAATGTAGACTAGTACAACCACTCTGGAAAAAAATTTGGAGGCTACTTAAAAAGCTAAACATTGATCTACCATTTGATCCAGCAATACCACTCTTGGGGATATACCCAAAAGACTGTGACACAGGTTACTCCAGAGGCACCTGCACATCCATGTTTATTGCGGCACTATTCACAATAGCCAAGTTATGGAAACAGCCAAGATGCCCCAGCACTGACGAATGGATTAAGAAAATGTGGTATCTATACACAATGGAATTTTATGCAGCCATGAAGAAGAACGAAATGTTATCATTCGCTGGTAAATGGATGGAATTGGAGAACATCATTCTGAGTGAGGTTAGCCTGGCTCAAAAGACCAAAAATCGTATGTTCTCCCTCATATGTGGACATTAGATCAAGGGCAAACACAACAAGGGGATTGGACTATGAGCACATGATAAAAGCGAGAGCACACAAGGGAGGGGTGAGGATAGGTAAGACACCTAAAAAACTAGCTAGCATTTTGTGCCCTCAATGCAGAGAAACTAAAGCAGATACCTTAAAAGCAACTGAGGCCAATAGGAAAGGGGACCAGGAACTAGAGAAAAGGTTAGATTAAAAAGAATTAACCTAGAAGGTAACACCCATGCACAGGGAAATCAATGTGAGTCAATGCCCTGTATAGCTATCCTTATCTCAACCAGCAAAAACCCTTGTCCCTTCCTATTATTGCTTATACTCTCTCTACAACAAAATTAGAAATAAGGGCAAAAGAGTTCTGCTGGGTATTGAGGGAG